TGGGTTTGCAGCTAGTTATAAAAAGCTTGAAAACTTCAAGGAACTTTTATTGCCTTCTTTTGACATTTTATCATTTAAAAAAATGCACCATTAAATTAAACTTTGTAATAAATAATATATTATAAAATGACATACATATTATAACGAATACTCTTAATGTCGGTTTAAAATAAGGAATGTATCAAGAAAAGTATTATGAAGCTTTTTCAAACGTTAAATAAAATCTTACAAGCTCGAAAAAATGCATATTTTTAATTAATTTAATTTAATTAATTTTTTTTAATTAATTAAATTTTCAGGGTCATAAATGTAGAAAATTAAATCACGCAGTTAGTAGAAAATGCAAACTAAGAATAATAATTTTAAATACACAGTACTGCAGTTTTATTTTAAGAAGAGGAATTTGTTTTTTTAAGAATTATCGCAAAGAATATCTTTGTCTTAAAAAAATTGCACACCTATTTCTGAATTAAATATTGAAAGCCATCACTATCCAACATATCACAAGTTGTTTAGTAAAAATATGTTATTCAAAGCGGTATCATATCATTTTTTAATGAAAAACGTGAATGATTATATTTTAGGAGTAAAATAATCTTAAAAAATTTGCACGTACTTACTGTTTACACTTTCGAAGTCTTCCAAGGAACTTTTAATCTCAACCTTAGATTAATTTATCAATGTCAGCAGTATCTGAAATTAAATTCTGTTTGTTTCTTTCAAGATCGCAAGCAGTTGGAATTATAGAGCTATTTCAGCTCAGGTTGTCAACGCTAATGGAACTTGATGGGGACTCGCGTGCTTATAAACAGTGCTTGAAATGCAGTTGACGGTGAGACCTGATTACCCTTAATTTTGCTTATGTGAGAGGGAAATGTCCGCGAGGCTTCATATAAGATGAGCTCGGAGTAAATTACCTTCTTAATTACTGACAAAATAGTGTTGGGCTTACACTCGTATCCCAGAACAAAATTTTGAACAATGACAGGCTGAGAACAACATTCCGTAGTTTTATTTGTCTCTTTTTTGAACAGAGTTTTTTGATTTTCTTCTATTTTATTTTGATAGACTCAGAAACCAAATTATTAAAAAAAAGTATTAACTACTAGACATGTATAAATCAAATCTTGCATAAATGAATAGACAAATTAAATCTATTTCAATCCTTTTTGATAGAATTTCTAACATTAAAAATATAACTCGCATTTTTAAATTTTTTTAGTGTGTTAAAGATACAAGTATAAACTTTCCAGGAATCAGTTTTAGAAAGTTCTAAAATATTTGAAACTCATTTTAACTTGAGCATTTTAAAAGCGATGAAAAAAGGGATACACAAATGCTTTCTAATACAATATATAGGTTGTAGTTGTTGACGTATGCCTGTTCCAGCAGAAGGGGGTGCGATTGTTCTTGTTTTCCAGTGCCGTCATCTATGGCCAAGAATTCGACTTCTGCCACACCATACGTTGCACCCGTTTATTGGGCGGACCCATTCATACTTCCACTCATTCATCCACAGATCGTAATTTTGACCTGAATCAGAGAACGATCGATCTCCAATCCAGTACCCCCAGAGGTATTGATTTGTTATGGGAACAAGGAGGACTTTTGCGACTCGTCAGATTTAACGCGCATCAGTCACTTTACTACTGGTCTTCGGCCAGTGGGGTTTCGAACACACGAACTCTCGGATATGGGCCCAGTGCCCTACCGACCAGCCTATCCCGGTCCTACAATATATATTTAATCAATGACTGAAGTCCGCAGTCGTTTATCATTTATTTAAGCAATATTTATATTTTGTTAGTTCAATTTATCAAAAAAAATCAGAAACTTTGAATCAAACAATGTGTTCACTCTAAAATAACAATTATAATCAACCAAAAGAAAAGGGGAAATACGACCTTCCTTATTTTTAACGAGATTATGAGGTTCCTTCTCGCTAAGATTGCAGACCCCGTAAATGCGTCTCATTCAACATGGTTACGTAACCATTTCCCTCAAAAACACTTAAAATTTTTATGTTAAGGTACACAATTTTTATATACGTAAGAACCTATATATACCTTTTATATACCTAAGAATATGTTACGGTACACAATTTTTATATACGTAAGAATATTTAGTTAAGGCTCTAATTGTAAAGAAGTAGACGATTTTATAGAATTGAAAATAAACAATTGTACTTGAAGATATATTACCTTTCGAATACAGATTGTGAGACTCAATAAGAAGAAATGAGTAAAAAGTAATTTTATTCATTAAAGAGACTTATAACAATCCAAATAGGGATAGGATTTTACCACTAATTATTAAGTTTTTTTGTTTTGTTTTGTTTTGTTTTTTTTTAAATTTTACTATGTCAGATAAGATTTATATCTGGCAACATCTGATCTCTCTCTCTCTCTCTTGACACGTTTGTCCGACATCTACTCGAGCGTGAGCTCATGAAAAAAGATAATAATGATCTCGTAAAAAATTGAATTTTTTTAAAACGATGGATAAATAATCAATATTTAAAGCAATAAAAGCTGAAAAAAAGCATTTAAATCGGCTATAACTTTCGAACAAATAGGAATTTCGAAAAAGAAAACTCATTTTGTTAAAAATATGATACAAAATGGTCCTAATCAGTACGCCGAATTTCAACTCACTCTACTTGGATTTCAGCGGACAGTAGCCAACATGTCTTTTTTTTAACTACAAGTTTAATAGTTAATAATTCTAGAACTAATTATCGAATCTGATTTATTATTATCCTAATTTTTTACTTTTTTCTACATACATTTGTAATTTCAAGTTTTTTAGTCTTGTGGCTTTTAACAGTAAAGCAAAATGTAACGTAAAGCAAAAAGAATGAGAAAAAAAAACTCGCATAAAAGCACTTAAAATTGCAATGACTTTCTAAAGAACATAAATATTGGAAAAAACCGTGTTCATTCATAAGTATTCTGACCCTTTCAACGTACCAAATTTCAATTTTGTAGTTGCATTTCGGCGTCCTGTAAAACATTCCATATGATTTATTGAACACATATAAAAGTTAATAATTATCGCACAAATTATTGAATATTGATTATTTTTTAATTTTATCGTGGTTCCTGAACATTTTCTATGCATCTTAGTAATTTAAAATTTCTGTGTCTTATAGTTTTTGCGCAGCAATACAAAATTTAATGCTAGGTTTACCCAAAACAGGGATGGTGTGTCGATGGTTCTTACGATTTTTTAATCTAAAAAAAGAACCCCGCCACTTTTTAAAAAAAAAATACTTTTGATAGACGTGACACTTTTTACGTGACACTTTTTTTATAGTTAGAAATAAATATCTAATATTCAAAATTATATATATGAATTGAAATGTTAATGACAAAGTAAAAATACATGTTATATTACTTTTCTTTTTAAATTTTCAAACTGAAAAATCATACAATTATTTTTTTTTATCTATTTTCATTCACTCTTAGTCCATTAAATTTCGTTCTTTTTCATTCCCTCTTCATTGAAATTCCTTTCTATCCGTTGCATTTCGTTACATTCGTTTTAGAAATAACTCATGTTTAAACATAACATGTCATCTCATGTTTAACATAACTTAACATTTGTTAGTATATGAAATGAATAAAAAAATCTCATATCAGTAAAAAAAGTAAAATAAAAAAATAATGCTTGCATTTATGTCAATAAACAACAAAGTTAAAACAAAAATCGCGGACAGTTGTGTTTTGAGAAGAAAAAGTTATGAGAAAACTCAAAGGAAGTTAAGAGAACGCATCTTTGCTAGCCATGTTAATAAAAACAAAATAAAGAAAATAAATGTCTCAGCAGTTTCTTAAAAACTGAACTTCTTATGAGAAATATTGGATGTAAATAGAGATATATGAGGGTAAGTGTGATATAATGAAACTAGGATAATTAGGTTCCTCAATTTAAAAATGTAAAATGACAATTTTAATTTGCGCGTTGCTAAGTTAAGCGTGCAGTACTAAAATTTTTAAATTTTGTATCATCTGTGAATATTTGATATTCGTTTTTAATCTGACTGACTGGTAAAAACTTTTCAATCCATAGATAGTATATATTATAATTGGCTATTTAGTTTTATTCTTAATATTCTCTGCTGTTTCAATGCTTGTGATTATAGCTATTATAAAAATTAAATTATTGGCACCAAAAATAGTGTTCACTTATTATATTCTATTGAAGTAGTTTGATTAAACCTTACTGCACTACATTTTATCATAAAAATATACTGTTATCATCCTTATTTCTGTTACCATTTTTTTATTTTTAAATTAATTTTTATCCTGAAATATGTTCAATCAGCGTATACAATTAAATAGTTAGTTAAATTTTTTTAAATATTATTAGAAATCAAATTTTCACATTATTACTCAATAATTCATTTAGTTTATACGCTATAAAAGTTTTATAGTTACAAAGAAAAGTATAAGAATTTATTAAATAAATGTTTAGATGGGATAGCAACGGCTACAGAATAAGATCAAAAGATATCCCAGATATATTGCCTGAAACAGTCGAAATCATGAAGCATTTCAATAGTCAAACATTGTTTCCTTTATAATCATAAAAAAGCTCTTTATTTTTAATATATTTTTATTAATAAAAACGTAAAATCGCCTTGAAAGTAAACTTAAAAGTAATCTGGGAAACATAAAATACAAACTAATTTTAAAATGCTTAGATGTAATTGCAACGGCTACAGAATGAAATCAAAAGAAATCCCAGATATATTGCCTGAAACAGTCGAAATCATGAAGCATTTTATTAGTTAACCATTGTTTCCTTTATAATCATAAATAAGCTCTTTATTTATAATATAATTTTTATTACTAAAAGCGTAAAATCGCCTTGAAAATAAACTTAAATAAAAAATACAAACTAAATTTTTTATGTAAAGAAGTCTAATTAAAAGTTCCACTATCTATGATAATACTACATTGAGATAGTAATTGATTTCTTTTTTTTTTCTGCTTCAGATATTCCTCCGATTGTGGAAGCAGTGGTCGGAGGAAAAGCTTTGATCCCCTGTAACGTCTCGTCTCCTCTTGAAGATGATGAGGCAACATTAGTGTTATGGTATAGAGTGGATATGCCTAATCCAATTTATACCTTGGACGTAAGAAATGCAGGCATAAGGAGTGCCAAACATTTTCCATCAACAGAAATAAAAGATAGAGCTAAATTTGATGTGAGTGTACACCCTCCCGTCCTAATACTGACAGACGTAACTCTAAAAGATCAGGCGGATTACCGATGTCGGATTGATCTTAGGAAGTCAAGAACCCTGATTATTCATAGTAGATTACGCATAATAGGTAAGTTTTTTTTTTCCATGGCCAAAGAGTTGTTTTTTTCTATTTCGGCATTAAAACGTTATTGTATTTCTCGTCTTTCTATACATCCAAGAGTCTATTATGAGTGTACTTTTAAATTCGAAATTTAAAAAATAAGGAAAATGCCTTTTGCTTCTTCAGATTTTTTCAAAACTCTTTACTCATGATACTGTTTACTTAGCACTGTTACGGTATCTCGAACAACCGTAATACAAAATATTTAATTCGTAAATACAAAATATTTAAAACGTATTTTATTTTATTTTGTATTTGAGTAGTAAGTTTCATTTTTTACTTTCCTCCTAAATTTGTCTCGTTTTAATCTACTGTTTTTTAGCTTTTGTATTTTAAACTACATTGTATTACATATTTCACTATTTATTCCTGTATTTTTGTATTCTTTTTCTGGACCGGGTTTGCCACGGATTTGCCGGGTGATTACGGAACAATATTACTTCTTAATCCCTTGTTTTACTTCGTAAGAATGGAGAAAATCAGCTGCTAAAAAATTCTATAATTGGCATTCACTCGATAGACTTTATAAATAATGATATTTTAATTTATTTTGCTTTTTAAAAAAATTTCAATGCAGAAAAGTATAGCATATTAATTCAAAAAATGCTCAGAGGTTTTGAGCATTTTTTTTAAAAAACGTAAACTGTGAAAAATACATACATTAATATTCTTTTTTTTGTAATTTGCACCGTATATTTGACGGTATTAAGCTCTTTTGTCGACAAAACGGTTTTTCATTCTAATCTGAAGCGGATAAAAACTTTCAGCTCGAATTCTAGTGTTTGCCATGCAGTTTTGCTTACCGTATGATAACTTAATCTTTTCCCAGATAATTTTTAAAAAAAATTTTATACTTCCTCTTGCTTTTCAGAAATTATAATATGCTTTTGAACATCAATTCAATAAAACTGCAACTCGATTTCATTGTCAAATTAATGCAATATTGAAGTGAAATACCCCCTATGTAAAAGTTACCGTTTTGCAATAGGCTTATCTAAATAGTCTTCCAAACCGATTCTTTTGAACGAAGCAGGATAAGTACAAATGCTAACTTAATTTTTCTGCTTAGAACATTTGTTTTAAAAACTCTTCCCAATTTTATCATTTTCAACTTTCTGTGTGTCAATCAAGATCATAAGAGTAACCCGACTTTTTTATTAGGGTGGGCCACGACAGTTTTAAACGTTTTTACACTTGAATATTATTTCATTATGTAAGAACTCTAATGTAAAGACAGTTTCAGATGGTTCTTCATAATAAAATCTACAGCTGTGGTGGCTGAAGGGAAAACGTATTCGCTTCTCAATTGATGTTAGCTAGGTTCGATTGCCAATGGTGGTTGGTTGATACGAATTCTACTTCCTGCTCGCACCAACCGCAATACAAATAAAATATCCTCAGTGGTAAACGGATCATAGGATCCTTGCTGTCTGGCTAACCATATGAGGTAGGTTTTGTGGTTTTAATCTCCACGTAACGTAAATACGGGTTAATACCATCAAAATGTCCTCCATGAAGGCTAGTTTGCACCAATGCTTGATCCAAAAATTTACTTGTCTTCTACATATTTTTTTTACAAAATTACAAGTCTATGGAGATTAACTTTGATAAGTCGTAAACTCAGAATTGAGTCTGTTGTTCAATGCCAGTTATAAAACGAAAAAAAAAAATATAAAACACTAGAGCCATGGTAGCTCAAAAAAAGCAATGCAGTAATCCATGCTTAATTCCCAGAGATGTTTGGTAGATGCAAATTCTGCTGGTATTAAATATTTATGTCTGTTAGGAGTACAGATATATTCCGTAACTTACACGGCGTTAAATTGTTCCCATACAGTAAAAATCTGTTGTGACTACAAATTTACTTTATAACGTTCATTTAAAAATTTGTCTTGTAAGGTTGATAGCAAGTCTGTCGTAATTTTAACGTTCCATTCGCAATTTTTACGGAGAAAACTTGTTTTTGCATTGTAAGAAAAATTCGTGATTACGGATTTACTTTTTCACATTTGTGGGAAAAAACTCGTTCTTGCTACTGTTTGACTTCTAAAAAGTACTGCTTTGCGCAATCTACCTAGCTGCCAGTTTAAAATCATCTTTTTTTACGCACTTTCCATTTGTTTAATAAAATGTGCTAAATTTCTTTTTGATACCTTCCATGTGTTAGCCTAAGTTCTAGAAATTGGAACAGTGAAAGCTGTTACGTGTGCTGGTAATTGATAGTATGAAGTTGGTGACCCCTTGAAATATTTTAAGTCTTTTTTGACGAAAAAAAAACTGAGAGATTAATATATGTAAATGAAATTACTATTTTAGTTGTAAAACAATAGGTTTTACAAATCAAAAACATTTTATTTAGAAAATAACTTGAATTAAAATAGTTTTTACTAAAAAAAAAATACTTTAGATTTATCACCGAGGGAAACTAAAAAGGACTAAATGTTCACATCACTCAAAGTAGTATGATCGTGTCCAACCCAAGAGAGACGAAATGTTCTTTTCAGCTTCGGTGAATCTTCAGACATTTGGCCTCATTTCCTTTTGTTTAGCCACAGTCTACAACACATGTCTAAGTTGTTACGACCCATTTCTGTCTAAAAGAAAGCTTCTCCTGAGAAGAGGAGGATCTTTCGCGAACCTTTATCAACCAGTAATCTTTCTTCTTTCAGTAACTTTTCTTTCTCTCTTTATCCGGTACAAGACCCCAAGTTATTAAATTTCCACTAAAATTTATTTATTATAAAAATAGAAAACAATTCAATATCATTCAACACAATGTTAAGTTTAACTTAAACAATGTATTTAAGTGTAATAAACAAAACCTACGGAAAGTTAATGCTCTTTATTAAACAAATAAAGCATTCCTATAAAAAATACCGTAATTCATAACTTAAAGACATTTTCAAAATATGCATTTAATACTTTTTTTTAAATTTTTCTGAGAAACGAAACAAAAAATGTAACAAACCAATGCAGAATACTGTATTTTATTAAGCATTGAGAGGCACTTTAGCATTAATAACAGAAATTCGTTTTAAATTGAAATAGCCTAATTTCGATGCAATTTCAACCTCTCATGCATATCAAATTTTACTGAGCATATTACTACTAAGACCAAAATTTTGAATCCAGATTTTTCTTCACTAACATTTAATCACCTACATTACGCGAATTTGGTTTACAACATTTATGTGCATGATGCAATTGCCCAAATGAATTAATGACTTTGCATCGCGTTTAGTTTTGATAGTATGAAATGACCAAAAAAATATTTAAAAAAATTTTGCATTTAGACTGAGTACTTAAATATATTTCACTACTTAATGACCAAATGAATTTTATGAAATGACCAAAAATATATTTAAAGAAATTTTGAATTTAGAATGAGTACTTAAATATATTTCACTACTTAATTGTTGAGATAAATTTTAAAAATAATTATTATAACATACATCACAAGTTCGTATTTAAAATTGTGGTTGCACAATGTGGATTAAATAAAGTGCCTTGATTTTTCAAAATATTACAATTCTGTACATTGATTAAAATAAACTATTCTTTATAATAGTTATAAACATTTGCATGAGGTGTTTTTCTAACTATTCAAAAAAAATCTCTCAGATTTAATGCAGTTTTTAATTAAATTTGTCTTAAATCAGTTTTAATCATTATAACCTCAAAATTTCATGTAATCTTTGTAAGTTTAAAATTTATTTTTAAAACAATTAAACAAACATCACTAACATCACATATATTCTTGAAATGAATCGATGAATTCAGCAAATATAAAACAATTGATGAATCCTCGTATTTCCTTTTATGAAATGTAAAAGTTTCCTGAGCCACTACGACTCATCTGAAAATGCGGACAAAAAATATTACTTTCAAAAACTTAAAATTGATTGAAAAGCGCTATAACTGTTATTTTTTATTTAATTTAATCTTTAATTTAATCTTTAATAATCATTTATCGCTGAGTTAAACTGTACAAAAAAATCACCCGGATCTTAGCGTTTTATAAAAATTTCGATTTCGTGATTTTATGTAAGGAACAAAAATTCTTCTTCTTTTTTATTTATTTATTTATTTTGAAAAATTTGTACAATTTCAATGAATTCTTTCAATAGGTATAATGAATTAAGTTTTAAATTAAAATTTGAAAACATAATAATAGTTAATTTAGTTGCTATTGAGATTAATTCATATTTTCTGTCACGTTCATTAATCTATACTTTATGGCTTCAACTATTTATTTCTTTAACAAAAATGTACTTTAATTTCACTAAATAACAAGGAAACTAAAAACAATTAATGACCCTTTCTAAGTATAGCTGTTTAACCGGTCGAAATGAAGTTTCTTGGCTTAAAGTTATAAAAAATAAGTTCAAGCTTAATGTTATGAAAAATAAGTTCAAATGCATATCTTAAGTCTTTCTTAATAGCATTGTTTGATACACCGAAGCTAATCATCAGATACAAATTTCTTAAAAAGAACCTTGAATTGTTTAAAGCTATACGTTATACATTTGATCCTTAATAGTTATATGTTATAGGTCTCAGAATCAGAATTTTTTCTGTACACTATTGGAATTTTCATTCTAAAATTATGGCAAAATAACCAGCAGCAATCTGACCATATAATTAAACATAAAGTTTACAGTAATTAGCATTTTTTACTTTACGATTTCGAAACCATTTACAAATAAAATGGCTAAAAAATCATGAATACCAAGCTATATGGTTTTGTAACCATGTTCAACTATCATGGTTTCGAAACCGAAAAAAAGAAATTTAACATGACATTGGAGATAGGCTTTTCGTTAGATAATGGTTGAGTTGTGTTTCATCAAATGAATGGTGGAATGTGGTTTAATTAGTTTTGGTTTATCTGGTTGTTTCGCTTATTATAAGAGCTGGAAAGCTTTCTTGCGTTAAGCAACTTTGTCGTGCTCCCTTCTATTTGTGAG